GCTCCGCTGCCCTGTGAGTAAGGCTTTGGCTAGCCGACGACTCCGGCTGTGAACTACCCTGCTTTGGCCTGGGCAGCCTAGCAGTATCGGGCCCTCAAGCAAATCATGGGCCTTTATTATTTTTTTATAAGGATTATTACACCGTGATTTGTTTGGCACAGTCTGAACTCAGGAATGTATGAAAATAAATAATATCATAGGGTTCAGTTCATGTTCGAAAGGGAAGCAACACCAAAAGATACTGCTTCATATCAACACATGCACTCATCAACTGCGGTCCCAACAAAGGAAAGGATGAATTTGACGACGAACTCATACGGCTTATCCGATTGAGCCGTAGCTCTTATATTATAGTGCTGGCAGGGGATTCTAACGAGCAGGACGGAAAACCGGTCGCATCTGAAACCTGTCTAAGACCGGAGGACGGGCGGCGTATTGCTCTTCTCGCCCAGCGAACAGACAAAGGTGAGTTTCAGTTTCATTTTTTACAACCATTAACCTTGCATTTTTATGTGCCCTTTTGGGTTGCAGTCTTTTCACTACCCTTTTCGAAAAAAAGAGAAGAATGACTACTGGAAAGTTAAGAACAGAGTCAAGAGAAGAAAAAGAACTCATAAATACCGGGGTTGGAATAGGTTCGAGTAGATGCACGAGTTCGAGTGTTTCCCATGTTCACGAGGTCCCTATCCAAGGAGCCTAACGAGGTCTATGTGACCCGGTGTTCTGGTTAGAGTTTTCGTATCCTCTTGCCAGGTCTTAGTTTGACCACCCCTGACCTTTAGCAGTCCACTGCCTGCTTCTGAAAACACCATGCACCATGGCAACCTGTTTGATGACATGTACAACACATGTCCCGACAAACGTACTTTACGGAGGTCCAACACTTGTTCTAATGGACGACCGCGATTACTTAATCTCAGCATTTCCTGTAAGGTTGCCCCACCAAACTCGTGCAATGGGGCGTAGACAGCGGTGTTGAAATACTGAAAATATATTTTTATCCTGTTCCCGTAATGGCCAAGTTTGTCCGATAGAGCAGGACTGGTCTAATTGCAGCAGCATATATTCCGCCAAAAATAAATGATGGGACCATGGGGCAATGGTTATTGAGATATAAAGAGTCGCCGTGTTTGTAATAGATTAATATCCCAGCTGCTTTCTAAGAGGTTGAGAATACTCCAGATTTGGGAAATACAGAAAAAGCGCTTGAATAGAGCCAAATCTAAGATATATATCTTTACAAGATCACGAGCGGGTAGCCTACGATTTTGGTGGCTTATGTTTCTCTACTGATGACAGGATTCAACCAAAGTCAAGTCAACTAAAAAGTTGCTTTATTCATCCTAATGGATGGGTTCTGAGCTTCTTGCACACACCAGGAACATTTATCGTCGCATACAGTTACAAAAAAGTGAGGAGAGAAAAAAACAGCATCGTCAATTCAAAGGAATGTGGAGTAAAACGTTTGAAAATTAATATCAATTGCGTAGGAATTTCACAAAGTCTTCTCTAACGG